CTCAGGCAAACAGAATTGTAATGGAACACATTTTAGGGCTTCTATTACAACAAGAATACCTAAATGTAGACCCCAATGAAAGCCTGCTTAAACTTAACTTAAATGAATATCTGACCACATTGAAGTTATCAGTTTGGCTTCTAGTGGAAAAAGGACTGCTGCTCAAACCTGACATTAAGATCAAAGTGAAATGATCAAAACATTGAAAATATTAGGGAATGCTTCCTTCGCTGCAACACCTGTTGGTTGGCTGTTTGGCGTAAAAACCGCCTACTTCTCTGGTTAAAAGAAAAACAAACTAAACTTAGCCAGCATTTGTAACTTTTTTCCACCTTACATTTCTGTTTTGAAGGTTGTTGATGAGTACAACAGGAGGGAGCAGGAGATCAAACATCTGGAGAAAGATCTGGAAGAAAGGAGCAACAACCTTACTGCTTATCGTCAGAACATATCAGAGGTACATGATATGACACTGCAGAAGTGACTGTTGTTTTTGTTTTGTTAGTAATAATCATGGCCACCCTGTGTATACTTGTGTATGATGATTTTTTTTTCTGTTAGGCTAAGGAGCGCTGGCTGAACCCGCTGAAGCAGCTGGTGGAACAGATTAACGCCAAGTTCAGTGATTTCTTCCGCCACATGCAGTGTGCAGGAGAGGTTGATCTGCACTCAGAGAATGAGGTAAAAAAAGTCAACCAGCTAAACAATGTAAAAAAATCTCTGGTGTCAAACTCTGACAGATCAGGCAAGAAAGTTTTGTTTTATTTTATCCTTCCATTAAATGACTACTGTCTTTCAACATAGGAGGAGTATGATAAGTATGGGATTAGAATTCGTGTTAAGTTTCACAGCAGCACTCAGCTCCATGAGTTGACGGCCTACCATCAGAGTGGAGGAGAGCGCAGCGTCTCCACAATGCTCTACCTCATGGCCCTGCAGGAGCTCAACCGCTGCCCCTTCAGAGTGGTGGATGAGATCAACCAGGTACTGCTGCCACACACATACACATGCTGGATCACAACTGAGTTTATTTGTGAGAATATGAAAATAGAAACAGTATATTTTGTAACTGTTCAATCCTCTAAAGACTCAACTAAATAAGCTTACTCTTTGTGAATGTAGGTAGTAAGCAAATGAGCTTACTTCTCCCTTTGCAAAAAAATCAAAAATGTGTTTGTCGATTTGATTCCTTTGCTTTAAATTCAATTTTTTAGTCCCCTCACAAGACCACAAGCGATCTATCTTAACGTTCTTTGTCACCTGCTTTCTTATGTTGACGTGGCTAAGACTTTTTTCTCATTTGTCTAGGGAATGGATCCTGTTAATGAAAGAAGAGTCTTTGACATTGTGGTCCGCACAGCCTGCAAAGAGACAACATCCCAGTACTTCTTGATAACACCCAAAGTAAGTGTTTGTACATTCTGATGAGTGAGTTTACGGATGCTTACAAGATATTCTACCTTTGTGTGTATGATTCCTTCTTTCGTGTTTTCTGTGGGAACTTCCTCACAGAAGTGTGCAGGCAGCTGGAGAACATGGTACACTATTTAGTGGCTTTAGAGCAAATACATTCATTACAATTTAATGAAGACTAAAATCAGAGTTGAATGACAGTGATTATTTGACTTCATTAAATTAAGTGCAATCTAACATGACTCCAAATGAATCCAAATGTATCCAAATGTTCTTCTATATCTGCTGTAAGCATTCAATCAACTGTTTGTTCATTTTTTCAGTATTTCCACTAATAACTAGACTAGCTTCCTCGGCTACCTTGTTTCTGCTGCCCACAAATGTCCAAAAACTGTTACTGCAGGTTTAAAATACTTTGCATGAAACTGTAGTTCTGATTCAGTTGGTCTGTACACCTTTTCAAAAACTCACTCCGGCTGTGTTTATCTTCAGTTACTGCAGAACCTTGAGTACGCCGATGAGATGACCGTCCTTTGTGTCTATAACGGCCCCCACATGCTTCCCCCCAACCAGTGGGACGAAAAGGCTCTGATCAGGCGCTGTCTCGAAAGAAAAGCCAGGCAGTGAAACACCAAGCCAAAATGTAACGGTTCACTTCTAAATCAGACTTGTTTCGTTCATTTACTTCATAGAAGTGATGTTTAGCTGTTCTACTAAAAAGGCTTTATAACCCCATGGAGAAGGGATTTCAATTTAGTTCAGTCCGACATTTTGTTTCATAAAGGACATTTATAGACCAGGTTTATAGAACATACAAAATATGCTATGAGCACTTTTGTGGTTTGGTCATTTGTATATTTTTTATTAAAAGAATACAGTAACATGTTCACTCTTTTGACAGTCTAAAATATGTTGAACCTGTTTGACTTTCCTGAGCAATGTATGTGCACTTGTGTATACTGTATATTCAAATAAAAATATTCCTTCTGTTCTAAATGTGAATGTTAAAATTATTAAGCATAACCACCACCCATATATCTGACACCTGGGATGCTTTGAGAGGGCATTTTGGGGCTTTTGGTGCCCTGTGATTGACTAGTGACCAGTACAGTGTGTACCCTGCCTCTTGCCCAATGACAGCTGAGATCGGCTTCAGCACTCCAGCGACCCCAGACTGGAAAAGCAGGAAAGATAATGGATGGATGGATTTTTGTGCCTTTATTGGAGAGACAGGGCAGTGGGAAGAGTTGGTAGTTGGGGCTAGCGAGAGTGATATGCAGGAAAGAAGCCACAGGTCAGATTTGAACCCATGCCGCCCATTTTTTAGGACTGCAGCCTATGTTCATAGGGTGCACGAACTCGACCACTCCCTTCAATTTTTTTTTTGAAGAAAAGTTGCACTTGTTGCATGTGGTATTATTAACATATTTTTTTGAACAATCAGCACAGATGAATGATGATTTTCCAAACACTATTGTTCATTAGCAAAGTAATGCAGATAAATAGAATACTTAAATGGCACGTATTCTACTGTGCACACTTTTCTCCATCGTTTCTCTGTACCTCAACCAATCAGTTTCTACGTTTGGCATTAGGAGAAACAAACGTAGGACAAAAAATGGACAGAAGGAACTCATTTATTGACAGAGCTGGAATGTTGTTTGCTTGAAGAGAAAGCAGCACAGTAGCCTTCAGTGGGGTTATGTCTGACTAAGTCAGATCCACCAGTCTGAGGTTGCATTAGCAGTCTTAGTATTCAGTAAGTGTCTCCACACAGTCAATTGCTGCATAACTGATACTAACCCGTGCTTCATTTAATGCTGTAAACTGAGCACCTCTCTGGATCCACCCACACTTTAATTTCATTTTCTTGGTCCTTTTTCAGCAGGTCCTGCTTTAGGTTTTCATTTTCCCTGTAAATTAACATGAAACACAGTTGAAGGAGACTCATAAAAAAAAAAAAAACACTGCAAACACTGAAGTTTTCCTTTCAGGCTACAAACACCCACCTCTGGTCCTCAGAGAAAGTCTTCTTCTGGTATGAAGTCTCGTTCTTTCTCCAGAAGAGGTCCTTGTGGTGATCGTAAATCGACTTCAGCTGGAAGTCGAGGCTGTCAATTGGACCCTGAAGTTTACAAAAGAACAGTGCGTTCAATTTGCCAATTGGCAATTTTTTAACTCATCAGTGAAGGCCAAATCACGCTTCCTAATTCTTACCTGAAACTCATAATGCAGAGTACCTCGCTGAGTGCTGGCAAAGGTGGCTGTATCATGAAGGCGACTCCATGGTTCCTCTGTTTGTGCGATGTGAGCTGGTTTGTCATCTGACTTCCTCTGCACAATAAGAAAGAGATGAATATTCCCAACATTTAAAAGAAATTGCAGCATTATTTGATTGTTGCTGCAGGTTGAACTGCCTCATAGACGGATCAAAAATAATACCATTATTTGTTGTTATTCACCAATACAAGTTTGCTTCAATTAGATTGTAGACGTTTCATGATATAATGATAGACTGTAGAACTTAATTGCATTGCAGTTGTAGATGTAGGCTAAATGTTAAATGCTCTGAAGAATACTTTGATCAAATCACTACTGGAAGGGAGTAGTGTAACAAAAAAATCACACACACACACACACACACACACACACAGATCTATATATAGATATAAAAAAAATCTTTATTGTTTATAGTAGGCCTATATTTCTGAGTTTTTAAGGTTGTGCTTTTTCATAGTTTTTAGTAATTTTTAATAGAAATTATTTACAATCAAATCACTTTTGTAAGCTTTAGGGTCACAAAAATTCCATCACAAACAAATGCCTGACGTTTAAACTACAACATATGATGGAAATAAAAATGTTTATATACATTTTGGGATATTTATTAGTTAAACGTTTAAGTTAATTCACAATTATAAGCTATGGACTCACAATCAAATCGAAGTATTATATATTATTATATTATTAATGCTACATCTCTTAGCCTCAAAGGGTAGGTGGTTAGTCGGTAAACAAATGGTTGTTAGCCTGAAGAAGGACTCACCTGCTGCGGCCTGAAGCCACTCAGAGTAAAGTCATTCTCAAACTTTGGGGAGGGGAAAGGATCGCGGCTTGTCATATCTAATGACAACTCCAAAATCGACAGAAAAAAACAATATTAATCTAATTTTGTTGCTTCTGTCCTAGCTAAAGAAGTTCTTTCCTAGAACGACCAACAACCTGGTTTCTAAGCAACCACGTACTTCCGGTCAAGCTTTTCAAAGCAAAAGCTTTTCATGTTGATTCACCTACAACTGCTTTGACGGTAGCGTATGTGTAGCCTATAGAGCTCAAAAATCACGTTTTCTTTCTTAAATATCATAGGCTAACAAAAAAGTCTAATTTTCACATCAAATGTCACATAATTGCAAGGAAAATGGCAGGTAAAATGTGCTACATGCCGGTATTTCAAAAGTCATTCACTTGACCATTTTAAAAAGTTAAACACCTCCCAGTATCGTTTCACAGTAAAGCCACGCCTCCAGCCGCAGGGCGGGTGTCACCTGAGGGCGCAGGTCGGCTCTCCACTCCTCTGTCTCCATCACTTCATCACTAACAGGAGGCGGCGATGCAGCGAGGCTATCTACACCTGAGCCACCTTTTAGTGTGGCTGCTTTTTGCACAAACATGTGCGGATTTGCCTATGTGCAAAGAGGTGAGCAGATCTACTTCGTTTATAGCCATGACCAGATTGTATTCATATCAGCACACTCAAAGAAACACAGGTGTCAATTGTTGCTTTTGTCACAATATTTTATGTGTGCCTTGTGTCAAGGTTCCATCAGATTTGGATTTTTTTGCCCTGATGTGCAGGATAAGGACATGAAAAATGTGAAGGCCTCACACATATATGTAGTAAAGCAGTTCAGGAGCTATGTTTTAAATTTGGCCCATTTGAGGATGGACTAAATTTAAAGTTATTTTCTGATATGACGTTTCGGGTTCCAAACTCTTACAATGTGAATTTTAGCAGGACAGTTTTCACCATCAAATAGTGTGTGTGGGAAATCAACATATGTTTCTCTAGCATGTTAGGATTACACGGCATGAGAGAATTCCCTAGATTTACTCCAGTGTTGTTCGTTTTACAAGAACTTCCATATGTTAAGCTGATTGTCATGCTTCTCTCCACCCATCTGTATTTCATTTGGATAACAAAATAACGTTTTGATAATACTCAAACATTTGAATTTTATCTGCACATTATGAAGTTTATCGCAAAGTGTGTAGAAGTAAGATATCAGAGTGGTGAGGGGAAATTTAGCACACCTTAAGCTTATTGACTGCTTGCACTGTATTATGGGGATGATTTGGGGGAGAAGCTCTGGTAGTAACTTCATCAGGTGATTTGGTTTCCATGCCAATCTAATGACCATGAGGTACAGAGGCCATTATGTCCCGTTGCCTTGGTTTCCTCATGTCTGTGTAAAGGAGGCGATAGTCCACTGCACATCTCCAGTTAGTTGCATTTTTACATGTGAGCCTCCCACTCGCACCCATGTTCATCTGATATCCCAAACGCAGCTAATGTAGCAGCTCTAATCAAAAACACAGGCCATCAGGAGTGCAGCTGCTGCGGTTTTTCTGTTAACTATTAATCCCTCAAGGTTGTGTGGGCTTGGATTCGTCTCCTGAGTGACTTTCCACCTTAAGTCAAACGTTATGAAATTAACAAGATGACCTCAACTGTTTAATCACAAATGACATCATTATGGGAGGGATGGTGTTTGTTAGGATCTCCGAAAGAAGTTACAGCAGGAAAAAAAACAAACGTACAATAGCTTAGCACCAGAGCTCTGTTGTCTCTAAAGTCTTGCAACAACACATAAATTAAATGTTTACGAAAGGATTGGTGAATCAACATTCCTCCCCCCTGGGTGAGTAAATAGAGCGCGAAGCACATCCTTGATGAGCAAGATTAAAACCACAGTTGTGTCAGCCTTCTGGGCAAATATTGGCTGCGTCTTTTGTTTGGAAAAGAGGCTTGACTGGTTTTGAGAAAAAATTCAGGTTTAAAACAATCCGGTGCCCTATTTTAATAGATTTTATTGACACCTCTATTTACCTTTTAGTGTCCCTACGCAGAAGGATATATCAGAAGTTTGTCTGTTTTCTTGATGCATATTTGTATCCAGTGTCTGTGTGAATCTCACACCTGTGTTTGGCCCTTGCAGTCAGACTATCACTTTGAGTACACAGAGTGTGACGTGCTCGGGTCACGCTGGAGGGTGGCGGTTCCAAACAAAGCCGAGACATGCACAGGACTCCCAGACCCTGTCAAAGGCACCCAGTGTAGTGAGTGTCTGACTGTCATCTCATTTTGCAATTTGTAAAGAATCAATCTCTTTCTATTAATCATCATATTGTCCACATCTTTCCACTGAAGCCTCCTCATCCTTTTTTTTTTTTTGCTCTTCTTTTTCTTCTGCCAGCCTTCTCCTGTAGTGAGGGGGAGTACCTGGACATGCAGTCACAGCAGTGTAAAAAGTGTGCAGCAGGTACCTACTCTCTTGGCACAGGTGTGGCCTTTGATGAATGGGACAGCCTGCCGCCTGGTTTTGTTACCCATGGGACGAACACGAATGGCGGCAACAGCCACACTAACTGCTCCAAGTGAGTGCATGCATCCTGGTTTTTATTAATTAAAGCTCCTGTGAGGAACTTTTTGTTTGTCACAATTTGGCGCCCCCTGTAGAAAAAGTGGTACCTGTTATCTGTTTGCTGATTTTGCCCCTTATGTGCTTAAGGAGTTTTTTCTAAAACATGTGCTCCTGCTTCATTTAAACAGTTAAATGTGAGTGAATATTGATCGGGAAGATGTAAAAAAAGGGCCGTTTCTGCTGCATGCTGTAACTTATTTCTTCTGACACCTACCCTGCTGCAGTGGTTTCTGCCTTTAAAAAATATAATATAGAAATTATAATTTTTTTTCACTGATGGTCTCATTTGCTTTTTTAGGTCATAAAGAGCCATCTCAGTAGCGTTAATCAAATCTCTTACTGAAAAATCATCTTCCTGTTTTTTCTCCTGAATTTTGTCCAGCTCAACCTGGACATCAAAGGATGATTACATCGCCTCGAACACAGACGAGTGCAGTGCAACGCTGTCCTACGCTGTGAGCCTGAAGAAACCAGGAAGTGTGTACTTTGAGTATTTCTACCCTGACAACAGCATTTACTTTGAGTTCTACGTAAGTGTTTTAAATTTACTATCCAAATTTACAAAGGTTGCTGTTGTTAGGGGTGATATTTGTTTATTTCTGGCACGTTTCTCCCTCTTCTGTAGATTCAGAACGACCAGTGTCAGTCTACAGACTCTGACAGCCGGTGGATGAGCGTCTCTGAGAGTGAATGGAGCAGCTACAGGGTGTGTCTGACCGCAACTTTAACACTTCATTAAAATAGCTGTCATCAAATGTTTTTATTGCAGTTCTAATATAATAAGAGCTCTTGTATTCTTCCCCACCTCACTCTTTCTGTCTTGTTTCTCATTCATTTTGTGCAGGTTGAGCTGAGCAGCGGTAACAATGTGCTGTATTGGCGAACCACATCATACAGTCTGCTGGACAGTGCTGTAAAACCAGTGTTGTTAAGAAACATTTCCATCTCAGGTAGATCATCTGATGTTATGTATAGTGCAACGTTTATTCACTCCTCGCCTTCCTACTCCTCCTCGTCCTTTTCTCTGTTAATAATTACCCACTGATGCTTTCTTTTAGGGGTGGCCTACACATCAGAGTGTTTCCATTGTAAACCTGGCACCCACAGTGCTAATGCTGGATCTGCCCGCTGTACTCCGTGTCCTGCTGAAACCTACTCAAACAAAGGTGCCGCTACCTGCTATCAGTGTGGAAACGACACATATTCCGGTAAGCACAAGATACCGTAACACGACATGATTCCATGATATACATTCAAACTACTTACAACCATTATGATTTGCATGCTCACACACACACACACACACACACACATGAATACACACACACTCACGCACACTCTGAATGCAAATACTGCATTTATAGCTCAAGTGTTCACAGGGTGTAAAGTTTAGGTTATCGCTGGATCTGAATGTGTTTTGTGTGTTTTCTCTCGCCTATCCTCGGGCTGCTGTTTCCCCTGGATGTGTTTTTGAATGATTCTAGAGGCTGGTTCAGGGATCTGCAAACCGCGACCAGCATGTACAAACAGCGACTACTTCTACACCCACACTCCCTGTGACTCTGAGGGGAAGGTAAAGTAGACATTGATGCAGGTTCAAATAAGGTGCTACAACAATCTGTTGTGACTATCTGGTGTCTTTGAATATAAATGCTCTGAGCTGTTTGCTGGCGTCACATAGACACTGGTAGATTCTTTCATGTATTCATGAATGTGTTTCAGACTCAGCTCATGTACAAATGGATCGAGCCGAAGATCTGCAGTGAGACTGTTGAAGGAGCAGTGCAGCTGCCGGCATCAGGGGAGAAGAAAACCTGTCCTCCATGTAACCCGGGATTCTTTGTCACCAACTCTTCGACATGTGAACCCTGCACTAACGGTCTCTACTCAAACGGAACAGGTGTGAAATACGTACCCACCACATGCTCTTTCTTACATGCTTGTCAGACTGAGGTTCTTATTGTGTGATTTTTACGTGTAAAACTCTTTAAACCCCTTTCCCTGAAAAGAAACCTAAATGGTTTGGCCATCATGCTTTTAATTTGATGAACACATTTTTGATCCACAGTCTGTACAGAGTGCCCTGTCGGCACGGAGCCAGTGGTGGGTTTGGAGTACAAATGGTGGAATACGATGCCGAACAACATGAAGAGCTCCATCTACAATTTGGGGTTCAGTGAACGCAACACGGGTGAGCCTCAGCAGGGTTACCGTAACAACTAGATATTGGAGAATGGAGCTCAAGTGTACACTAAAAACACAATTATCTAGGAGAAAATAAAGATAAGGACAATGGGAGCTATAGAATAATAACATAATTTGTCTCCCATGGAAAAAATACAATAGAAAGTTACCTCCCAGGCATTTGACAACAAATCCTCACAACGTTTTGAAAGTAAGTGAGGTGAACCTTGAGTTACTGTATTTAATGAAGGATTTTCTTGTGTTATCTACATATATATTTTGTGATTCCTTTATTTATGTTAATTAATGTTAAGTGTTTTACGCCTGAAACCCAGTAATTTGTGCTGCTGCCTGTCTTGGCCAGGACGCTCTTGTAAAAGAGATTCTTAATCTCATTGAGACTTTACCTGGTTAAATAAAGGTTAAATCAAATATAAAAACACTTGTGCTTTGATCAATAAGTACAGTTTAAGTGTGTTAGAGGAGAGCTATTTTAAAGATGAAGTGCATGCTGTATGATTATGTGTGGCTGCTTTGCTAAAACAATAGGAACTGATTGTCTTTCTGTTTTTATGGACAGCTTGGGAGGTTGCCGGAGAGTACATCTACACCAAGCCTGGGAATGATGACCGGGACTACCTGACGCTCACACTCCGTGTCCCTGGTTACAGGTGAAAACACACATGTCTCGAAAAGAAAATGTGTCAAATACTACATATGCATACCTTTTAGTTCCAGCTGGATACGATGAATAAAATGTCACTTGTTTCCACAGGCTGCCTCAGTCCGTGGCCAAGGATGGGGAAATGATTGAACTGTCACGCATTACCTTCGTTTTTGAGACAATGTGCTCAGCAGACTGTACATTCTCCTTCATGGTGGTGAGGGAGACCATATTTTACAAAGAATAGGCTTCAGGGCATGCATGCAAAAATTTAAAAAAAAAATCATATCAATATAAACTGTATATATTGAGGTGATTGTGCTTCTCTGCAGCGTTATAACGAGTGGAGAAATGATTTGGTGGAGCATTGGAAAGGCAGCAACAGGAAACAGTCGTACTCTTACCTGATCCACAGAAACAACACCAACAGCTTCATGTGGACTTTTCAAAGAACAGAAGACTATAACTCGGTGAGACACAATCACAACTAAGCCTTAGAAATCATTTTTGAAGAAAAAGGATTGAAAAACATCAATCACTAGGGCAATCATTTGTCTTATTTTCATCCATGCTTCTTTCTGGACAGTCTAATCTAATACTTCAGCATCAATAATTAAGAGTTAATTCAAAACATTTTATGTATTTACAGTATGCACTTTCTGTGTCTTTATAATTTCACATTTTTATTTTCTTCTTCTTTCCTGTGTACACAACTATTTCTACTTAAAGTGGCAGTCAGACAGTGTAAAGGACTACAGTCTGGCTTTAAGCCATTATGAATGTTTTTAATAGTATACCATATGTGCAAAATGATACAACAAGAGGATACACTGTATGTATCCATGGATGCTGTAAAGGTATTCACTCAAATGCTTGTAAATGTTAAAGTAATGACTATCATTTTAATGACAGACTGCAGTAGTATAATGTATGGTGGGGAGTATTTTTGCCCAGGCAGTGCTTTTACTGAACTGTAGAGGGCAGCATGGATCAGTGTGTTAAAAAAATCACAATGACCCTTTTCTATCTGCTACATGAGAAATAGCTGTATGCACTTTCAGCAGAACTTGGCTTTATATTTTTTCTGTTTCTCTTCCCTAAGGAGAGGAAATACAGCGCTGATTTTGCCAAGATCTACCTCATTCACATCACTAATGTGATTGGAGGTGTGGCCTCTCAGTGTCGCCGCTGTGCCCTGATGTCTGCGCAGGCTGGATCCTCCTGCGTCCCCTGCCCACAGGGACACTACATGGTCAGTGCGACAGGAACGTGTAGGAGCTGCCCACCAAACACCATCATCAAGGCCAACCAGGCTGTGGGAGAGGCTGCGTGTGTTCAGTGTGGACCAAACACAAAGCCAAACAAGGTAATGGAAAACTTATTTTTTACATGAATGAACTCTTTGTTAAAAACCTAGGCTAAGTCTCTCAGTGCATACATTCATGTAAGATTGTTAAAGACACAGAGGTCATATCTCAAGACTGATTTTGCAAATGTGGGGTCTATAACAATCTGATAGGATTTCTCTTGGAGATGATTATAGCTGGCGATGTGCAAGAGTTTATATTATCTTTGGAAAATTAAACAGAGAAAGTAAATAACAACTCAAATCAAAATATACAATACATTTGTTTTTTTTTATACCCGTTGTTACAAATAAAGAAAGTCTCCACAGTTGATAGACTTTGTGCCATCCACAAATCTAAAAATAGACATTTCTTTAATCACACAATTTCTCCTATTTTCTTCTTGTTTTCTATGTGAGAAATTTCATTATGAATCAATTTATTTGCCATATTTGATTTGAAATGTTCATATCCACAAAAGTCCTAAGCAGACATGTTCCAATAAATTGTATTTACTTCCTTTTCCCGTGATAATGAGTTATTTCCAGTTCTTGATCTTAAGGATCTTAACTTATTTATCGTAATCTCTGGATAATGTATCATTTCTGTTTGTTTTGTGCTTTTGCATCTCTGGGGATATGAGATAAATAAGTAAAGATCTAAAAAAAAAAAAAAAAACATCGTTATCAGGTGATGACAGAGTAAATAGATTGTATGGATGCATGTCCGCTTAGCACTCTGTACATTTGCCAGAGGTCTGATGTATAAGTGCTGTATGTATCCCTCCATCCTCCAGGCCCACATCGCCTGTCTCAGTGACTGTGCGTTGAACGTGCAGACAAAATCAGGAGCCCGTCTGTACTACGACTTCTCTCCTCTGGCCAACGTAACCGGATTCCACAGCAGTCCCCGCTTCACCAGCAGAGGCCTCCGATATTTCCATCACTTTAATTTGAAACTGTGTGGGAACGAGGTGAGAGGCTGACATAATCCTGCTTTGTTGTTTTTGTAAATCAAACAATAGACTGACTGGTGTTTTACCCTGGTGTTTGTCTCTTACAGGGTACAGCGTTAGCTACATGTGTGGATAATGTAACAGAAAGAGGGAGAGAAGTCAAAGGATTTATCTGTCAGTCCACTGTGTTTCCCTCTGACATCCGGAGTCAGAGTGTTGTGTCCTCACAGCCTTTCCTCATTGGTGACTCGCTTATTGGTATGAACTGATTTCAAATAAATCTGTGCTTGTTTAGACTAAGGGCCTAGCAGTTTCTGTCCTCCATAGCTGTCTATAGTGCTCTGACAGTCTTCTCTTAAAGTTAATAACATTGCCACAGACATCTGAAGGCAGCAGATTATGCTGCTCAATATTGTTTAAGAAAGAGATGTGCATTTTCAAAGGAATGTGCAATGATGCAGGCACTATCCAGATTTGATACTCAATTCAATCATATGACAAAGGCACCAGAGTGTAGCGCAAGTACACAGACTTCTCTGGTTTTGTACCCACCAAACAGGTAAAGTATGAATTCCAGTTAATGTGGTACATGCATTAGTCACTGCTAACACAATGCCAGGGAGCAACTGCTTGCATCCTCTCCTTTAGAAAAGGTTGCTTAAATTAGCTCATTACATTGTTATGTTGAATAAACCAATCTAGCGTCACAATATCTTGGTAATTTTTTGTTTTGTCTTTGTAGAGCTAATAATCAAATGTTAATTTGCAAACACACCTTGAACTTAAAGGATGAACATAAAAAAAGAAAAACATTGACCTGCTAAATATTTGTGTTTCTCACTGGGAGCTTTTTGCCAGGCAAGGCATTACTATGCTTCAGTTAGCAATTAGTTGGGCTGGCTTTTTTTTTTTTTTTTTCACATTTTTTATTCTACTGAAAAGTCTTAAGAGAGTAAGCAGCTCTTTAGGACAGACTCACATCTCAAAGACAAACGAGCCAGCCAGACATACTTTGTACAGTTTTCGCAAAACCAAAAAAACAAACACTGGTATGCATTGATAGGATAGTTAAGCGCATTATTGTCATTATATTAAGCGCACAACAAAACTTTGTTGGCAGCAATGCTGAACAGCAGCGTCTTGGTCATATATACATATATAAAAATACATTCATAGTTATGCATATACAATAAAAGGTTGTGCTAGATTGAAAGAGAGGCAGTGGCTAAGATATGGTTGGCATGAATAACAATTGGGAGCTTGTAATAAAATGTCACATATTCGTTTACTTAATGCCCTCCTTTTCTGAAGGTGTGGCCACGGACACATCACTGAATGGCATCTCCTCTCCAAAGTGGCTGTTTCCTTCTGCCTCCACCCTGCCAGATGTCATCTTTTATTACAGGTGAAAAACATCACAAGCTTTAATTGATCATGTTTTACTCCTCTATCGGGATGCTTTCAGTCATAAACATATATGTGTAATATGTTTAATATTTTATATTTGATCCTGAAAGTTGGATCGCGTGCTGAATAGTTTAATATAATTGCGAGTCAAACATATTCTTAACTATGTCCCACAGTGGAAGTTTAGACCTTTATGTTAGGTTTGTCATTTCTTCAATGCTCCAGGTCCAGTGAAACAACTCAGGCTTGTAAACAGGGCAGGTCTGCCACTGTCAGACTCAGATGCAATCCCACAGTGACCGCTGAAGACCTCATCACTCTGCCGAGGTAAATTATTTCTCAGCCGAAGTTTTCCCCTTAAAACAGTTCAGACTCATAATAGTCAACACATTCCTGTCACAACATTTCTAATGTTCCTCTTTCTGAGGCCTAGGAATCTGAACTGTAATAAAAGTGTTGTTTGGAGATCATACTCATCCAGGAGCTCATAATCATGTCTCTTACCTTGTTTTGCTCCGCAGTAACTGTTCAGAGGGGACTTGTGATGGTTGTACTTTCCACTTTCTGTGGGAGAGCCGGCATGCATGTCCACTCTGCACCAGAAACCACTACAGAGAGATTGTCAGCGCCTGCGTTCAGGGGATACAGGTAATGCTGCACAGGAAATATTTACCAAAATAAAATGTTCTCCTCAAAAGCACAAACTAATCACAGGTTCATTTCTAATGTTTGTTGTTCAAAGAGAAGAACTTAAAGATACTAAAACTCTTAAAAGGTGGTGCTCAGCATTTAAACCTATTGGTACATAAATACAGCAAATCACTGGAACATGCATAAAATATATATGTATTTTTTTTTACCTTAGTATTATGGCTACATTGAAATATGCTTATAGTCTCACCAATAAAACAATTGATGCAACAACAGATTTTTTACATTTTTAATCTTACCTTTATTTTACCAGGTAGTCTCACTGAGATGTTGTAATCTCTTTTTGATACCACTGTCATGTGTTTGAGAAAGACAGTTAGCCCCATTGTTCAAATTGGTCACAAAATCAGCCCAACAACAAGTCTTACACTCTTATATTTTAGAGTTGCATGTAATTTGTTTCGTTTTTACACAAATCAAACTGAAAATACTCCTGATTACTTCTTTGCTGTGAACATTATAGAGCCAGGCTAGCTGTGTGTACTCTGTTCCCTCTTCATATTAAGCTTGGTTAACTGGCAGGTTCTTGAAGTGTCTTTTGTATTGACAGATTTGACAGTGATATTAATCTCCTCATGTGAAGCTCTGCTGTAAAATGAAGAAGTGTGAATCACACAATGTTAAGCCATTCCTTTCAGAAAGTGCTGACAACATTAAGGATTTTAGAAGTAAACTATTTGTGAACTCTGCAAAAATCAAACTCTTGTGTTTGTGTTGTTACAGAAAACCACGTACGTGTGGCAGCAGCCTTTGCAGTGTTACGGAGGAGAGTCACTACCAGCACAAAAAGTCAGTGCCTGTGTGACTCTGGATTTCTGGCTAAAGTTTGGTGTTTCCACTGGAACAATTGCTGCTGTGCTGCTCATTAGTGTCAGCTGCTATTTCTGGAAGAAGACACGCAAGTGAGGCTAATGGGAATCACATTTCATTTGGTGTTTGTTTAAGTACTGATTGTTTAAGTACTGATGGGTGTCAAAGTATTATTAAGATCAAAGATCAAACCTAAGCTAATAGCATGAAAACTCCAAAGAGGACGCTAAGCTAACAAGATGTTTTTTTGTGTAACTCTCTGCAGGTTGCAGTTTAAGTACTCCAAGCTGATGATGACCTCTGGGGGTAAAGAGTGTGAGTTGCCCACTGCAGACAGCTGTGCAATAATGGAGGGAGAGGACGCAGAGGACGACATAATGTACCTCAACAAGAAGTCCTTCTTTAACAAAATAAAGTCCTACTCACGAGAGGTCAGTAACCCTCCAATCGTGCATACACTGAGTTTCATATGTGGACATTTTTTCACTCTTCATATAATTGTCATCATCATTTTGATCATATATTATGGTTACGTGTTTTCAGAGGACATCAGATGGATTCGACTCAGTCCCACTGAAGTCCTCTTCACTCAGGCAACGAGAAGAGGAAGACTCTGATGATGATTAATTCAGAGGGGGAACGAATCCAACACCAAAGTGCAAAAGTGTTTAAAATACCGCTGCAGCTCCAACAGATGGAGTCGCAGAAAACAGCAATTTGCTTTTCATTTTCATTTTATTTATTAGCAAAGTTAAAGGATTACTAAGGAGGTTTACAAATAATGTAAGGAGTGACAATTTTATTTTGTATTGTTTGTCTTTTACCAAACCTTAAATTGCATTACAAAGTCTCCATATTGGTGATATTTGGTATTTTCAAGGCTTGATGTTGTATTTCAATCTCATGAGAACCACCGTGTTACATCACTGTTAGCATGTTTTTAACTTTTGCTGTTTTTTCTTTTATCTTTTTCTTTTTTTCAGACTGCCTTTTTGAATCAAGCCTGCTATTAAATGTTATCATTTTAATTCACTATTTTAAGGTCAAATTGCTTAACGTTTTGATATCCTTAACTGCTGCACATTTTATGATATGTTTATTTACGTAGAAGAATTGATATTTTATGATATAATCGTGCTTTGTTTGAGGTAAAGTCATTTTTCTAACATTAAAGAATGACCTCTATTGCTGCCCACAGGTACTCTTTAGGAGGTTACATCACAGAGCATGTAAAACATTGTTTTTTTATATCTTTACATTTTATATGTTGTAATACTTTTAAGTTTCTACTTACAGTTTTAGAAGTGTTTTGGTCTGCTTTTGATTGAAAAAATAGCTTACTGTCAAAAAAATATTTAGAAATAACTTTTCAAGAAATACAGAGTATGATTTTCTCTTTGAACTGTTTTATTAAAGACTGCTTAATAATATACTTTTCATGTAGTTAAAAAAGTACGACAGAAATATGATAAGAAGAAAAACGTGTCTCTTTCATGCAATCGTTAACGGAAGAATAAAAGTATTTATCCATACCACAAATACTGTCACATCTTGGTAATTGATTATAAGCAGTATAACACTGTGCTTGAGAACTTTTTTGACCTATTTAAATTATGTTGATATTTTTTTGACATAATTTATAATTATATATTTTGTATGTGTACATACCGTACAGTTCTTGAATCTAAATATAAAGTGTTATCATATTAAAAAATGATACATCATTTCAGATAAACTACCCATCAGGGTATAAAATTGGGTACAAACTTACTGCATCAACAGCATTAAAAAGCTTACAAATCCACAAATTCAAACCTTTGTTAAAAAAAAAAAAAATCTTACAATGAAATTCAATAAAACACCTAAAACGGCCTGTGGCTCTTTGATGCATAAAACATTTATTTTTACTTGTTATACCTTTTGTTGATGGTAATTTTGTGCTTTTACATATTGTATGTAAACTACATATGTACATGTATACACATGAAATCATCAATGCTAAACTTTAAAGATAAGAATAGATGACATGTACAGTCCCCGGTGAGTCAACTTGTTAGAGCAGCTCTAAAGTAAAGACATTTAAAATAAGTAAAAGAAAGTGACGAATATAAAAGTAATGGTAAAAAAAATCATATAAATAAAAAAAGATAGTTTAATAAACCATTAAGACACTAATGGGCATGTTAAGCTGACATACTTATGTGGAGGAAGATCTAATGTTTTATGTTACCCTCTCGTAGGTATGAATGTGGCACAGGTTTTTCTGCCTTTGGCTTGGCTGGCCCTAGTCATTTGTTTCTCGCGAGACTTTGAGACGTGTGTTGCAAGCGGGGTGAAATCTCGGGAGCTGTCTGAAAGCAAGCTGAGTGAGAAGGAACTAACAGCGTGAAGAGTTAAAACACTCCTCAGACGGTATTAGCAATAGGCAGACACTCAGATTTAGTTAAAAAAAAGTTCTTCAGCGAGAGGAAACACTTTATTTAGCTTCTCTTTTTCGTTACTTTGGTAAAAGTTGAGCGCAGGCTGCAGGGCTCGGAGTAACGTTACCCACCTCGGAGCAGAAAGTCAAGTCGGTGGTCGGTCAGTTAGTTCTGCAGGAATGTCGCAGAAAGAAAGACCCAAGTTTTATCGACAGGACGTCAACAAGACGATATGGGAAGTCCCGGAGCGATACCAAAGCTTGTCCCCAGTTGGCTCTGGCGCCTACGGATCCGTAAGGTAAATACTTTTCACTCCATTAGTTTTAAACCGTGTGTTTAGCCTTGTCACCTAACTTAACCTCCATTCATTTAGACGGGGCCTGCGCTGCAGATGCTAAAGTTAGGTTAGCTCGACAGGATTGTTGGCTAACAAGGTGGAGACACGATGTGCCTCTCAACATGAAAACCTGTTGACTTGTTATCTATTATTCACATGCAAAAAACTTGCAACGAATGAACTAAACTGCACACCAAAGGCCTACTTTAGGAAGCTGCTCACTCATACTTTGAAATCTTAAAAAAAAGTATCTGGGTCATTATCTGATCGGAGGGCATGTTCATCAAACTCCTAACTTAAAAATAAGTATTTGTACTCATGTAATGTAGATGTACACTCTTTCTCCAGAGGTGTAATTAATGTCATCTGGGTGATTTATGTAAGTAACATTAAAATAACACGAGTACATTTGGGATCAAGAGATAAGATATTATAGGTGTTTACTAAGCAAGTCCCACATGGCTGAGATGTTTTGTCCCCTCTACCTACGTTAATCTGACAGTATGTTTAAAAAGTTGTTGGGGTTATATGTCACTGTCTTGTAATATCAGTTTTTAGTAATGTTGAGAGGATTGTCAAAAAGATAAATGCACCAAATTGGACGTTGTCAGCAAAGTAATATTTTGCTGAACTCAGAATCAGAATTGATTTTTATTACCAAGTACATTTACACATACAAGGAATTTGACTTGGTGCTAAAGGACATTCTGGAGTTTTTTTTTTTTTTTAAATTGTCTGCTTAAAAGATTATATTTATGAATTGTCTTAAAATGGACTGATTGGTCAATATTGAAAATCATCATTGAATGCATCCCAAGTCTAGTGAGTTTTATGAATGAACCCTTTATAAAACGTATACAATAGCACCATACAGTATTTGTACTCCTCTTGACTACTCCAGAACACCCTGTTGGTTAGGTGCATTTCCTTATAGCTGCCAACTGTCAAAAGCTTAAGCTTTCACAGGAAACCCCCTTTTGTATGGGCTGATGATTAAATGGGTTGTGCTGATACTATCTAGGACACAACATTCATTTGATTGAGTGGGCAGATGTTTGTTTTGCAAATGAAAGCGGACAGATGCGCTGTTGCCGGGCAATATGATAATCTGTTGCTGGTCAGATTACTGTCTGCTCACCAGTGCAATGCCTGCGATTGTTTTTTTTTTTTTTTTTCCAAACAGTACACAGGCTCCTATTGTCAGTGTTAACATAATGGACCCTACCTAAGTCAATCGAGAATCCCTGCACAGTCTATTTATACAGTACTGCACTGCTTTAGTTAGAGTTACAGCTGGGATGAGATGCCACACAATTTAGGATGCAATCAATTAAAATCCACATTATTATTAATATTTTAACTGAATGTAAAAAGTGATGGTTGCATGAAGAGTAAGGGCCTGTGTAATGTTTTCATTTATTGGGATATAACTGCTGATGGGTTTAGACAAAAGCATTAGGGGGCTCTTTTTTTACTTTGATAACTGATTTATTTATTTATTTACAGAGTTTCTTATGCTGGAGTTAATGTTCATTCCTATTCTAGTATTGTTCAACTTGTATGGACAAAATCAGGTGCATTACATTGTGATATTGTTAGAACCCTGATAATACAGCTTTAGGGGTCCATGCAGTCTTCAACTGTGTCTGTCCACTGACTGTGAACATGTTTAAGTGAGCTAAGTAGGGGGAAGTGTTAGAGATACTCAGCCATTAGAATGCAGAACAGTCTGCAGGCCTGCTCCCAATCTGCTGAGAGATGACATTTTCTGCTTATGTCGCCCTTTTTTTCGTCTTCTTCCTCTTAACCAGACTTGAGCTGCTCTTACTGAATCTAGTTTGGTTTTGGGAACACACTTGGCCCATTCAGACCTGAAACAGTTTTCCTCATCCGTCCTAAAAATGACACTCTTTTTTTCATTCAAAGGTCATTTCTAGTCTAAGAGTTTTGTATGTTTTCAGTACTTAGAGCTTGTGTCCCCCAAATCAGCTCATGAAGACAAAAACTGATGTATGAAAGCAGATGTAGGGTATAAAGTGTGTTATTACTTGTGAGGTTCAAGCTAACTTCATGTCCATTTTTGTAACAGCTCTGCGTATGATATGAAGACTGGTTTAAAGATAGCAGTGAAAAAGCTCTCCAGACCGTTCCAGTCCATCATCCATGCAAAGAGAACGTACAGAGAGCTGCGGTTGCTGAAGCACATGAAACATGAAAATGTGAGTAGACACATTTCTCTTCCTTTTGCTCTGTCTGCTTGTGAACAGACATGAGCAAATCAGCTTATTAAAAGTCATTCTATACCTTTGCTTCATGTACAGTTCAATGCAGGTTTGTGTTGTTTATTTGACAGTTGTTTTCATACTCCTGCAGGTGATTGGCCTCCTAGATGTGTTCTCCCCTGCTACAAGTCTAAAGGAATTCACTGACGTGTAAGTGTAATGCATTTGTTAATTTTGAGTTTCCCTCCGTCCCTTGGTTTGGGTTAATCTCAGTAACTCCTTAGCATAATGTAAGAAGAGTTTTCAACAAACTGCAGCCTTTAGTTTCTCAGCAGCAGAGGATCGTAGCTGTGGCTGGGAAACACCTGGACACCGGCCAGCTGACTAAAGCTGGAACATTTCTTCGACTGTCCGCCCTCTCTGCATGTCACAGGAGTTATTTCACCCACTGTTTCCCCCCTTTTGCTTCCTGATTTCTGTCTCTGTGAAACATGTGTGCCTGACAAACAGGTAGTTATTGTGTGTTGTGGTTGAAAGTTGCCAAAAATGGGAAGTGGTCAGTGAGACAATGACTCATTCCTCAGACGGCGGGGGAGGCTGTCTGAGGAATGTTTCTTTTGCACAAACACTAGAGCTGGTTAATTAATCGAGTTTCAATTGCGATTTAGGCTTCCTGTGATCATGAAAACAGGATAATCAAGACTAAACGATTACTGTGCTGTGTTTGTCATGTGTGGTAAATGTTTCAAAGTGTTTGTCATATTTTGTTCGCACTTCACCACTACTTTAAAAACATAGTTGTTTATGTATATTATCTTTATAGATTAATATTTTTTCACTCATTTGTTTTCATTTATTTCTTGTTTTTTTGTGTTAAGATGTTAATCGTGTTTAATTGTCGTGAATATGATTTTCACACGACATGCTGCTGGGTCACTTGACTGATCTCACGTCCTGTGATGTAACTATTGCACATGCACAGGTCTCAATTTAGCTCTTCATAAAGGTGCATTGATTTCCTTCTAAAGAAAGTGGGCCAGCGTTTCTTTAAAACACTGCAGAAGACTCTGCATCCATGTCACATTGCAGGTGTCGTCTGAAACCTCTGTGTACGAGCAGATTGGCTCGTTTTCAAGAATGGGTTGTGTTGTGGTCATGCCTGTGTATTGAGATCTTTCCAAAGTCTTTCAAGTTTCCCCATGTGAGGAAGTGGTGTCCCTGCTTGTTTAGACATGAGTTCACTAGACCTTTGTTCCTCTTCTTTCCTGACGTGAGCAGCCTAAAGCTACATTAGATTTGACTAGGTTTTTTTTTTATTGTACCGATAACCAAATGATATAGATTCCTGTTTTAATACCATGACAACACAAAAAAGAAGTCACAGACACGTTATGTTGGGTAATTTTTTTTTTTAACCAATAATGCAAGCCAATTCCTGAAAGCTGTCGAAATTGAAGCTTATTGGCAACAAAGTACCAAAACAGAGCTAATCTTTTAGTTAATTTGAGATGGTAAATGTGTAAGGTCAATTGATTATTTTTGAAAGCATACTTGCTTACG